GCAATGAATTACTGCAGCAAGGAGAGAACTTTGGAAACAAAAGAGTGATGACAAAGGAATCGAAAAGCCTAGCATCTAGTGCCAATAGGCTCTCGCTGCTTCAGCTGCAATAGCGGCAACCTACGCGAAAGCAGCTACCGGCTGCAAAAGCGACAACTGGCGCGGTCCCGGCGCGGTCTGGAGGCTCTCTTAGCCGTCCCCGTTCACCTTGTTGGGACGGTAACAATCGCCCACTATTCGCATTCGTCGGGCTCGAATGCCCTTCGCCTCTGGGGGACGCCCTAGCCTTTACTCGAAATACTTTATGAGACATGCATTGTAGATGCGACGGGGTGTTTCTCAGCCGACTTGTCGCATGCCCTTCTTTGAAAGGGCAGCCTGACGCTGGAAATGTGAGCAGAGTTTTTGCCGCAAGTTAGGCTCAGGGTGGAATCGAACCCGTGACCTCCAGCACGGCAATGTTACGACAATTTGTGAGGTGTATGCAACTGATTTTTTCGGTATTGCAGCTTCAGCGATGGTGACTTCTAATGGGGCTATATGACACTTTAAGGCCTGCTCATGATTTTGTTCAGCTATATTTGCAATTTGCTTCAAAGGACCCTTTGAGATGCTCGTTTTTATGACAGGAACACCTTCCAGAACACTGCAAAGCATTAGCTTTTACTTCTCCAGATGTACACTTGTTGGAGCATACTTTGATCAACGTTAAAAAGACGTGGCCTTAGCAAATGCATTGTGCAAATGATGGCTTCCTTGACTGCCTTACACTTAAGACTGAGCTTAGAGAATGCAATTATTCGAAAATCGTGTTTTCATATGCCGAATTTATAGCCATGCAAAACTTCTCTACAAAGCGTTTTCTGCAACTTGGATGTGACCTCGGAAACCCGAAGACTTTCTTTACAATTCCATATATAGAAAACCCTATCAACCCTCTGGCATTCTCTTAAAACATTGCACTAACATCAAAGGCGCAAAAAGCGAAAATCTTTCCGAATGATCTAATAGTTACGAAATTGATGCCTTATGTTTTTAGGGCTCTTTTATCATGCTTACTGTATGTACGCGACGGTAAGCAAAAAAATCAATGTTTCAATATTGATGCACTTCTGACAATGTTAACGAATATTACGTCATCGCTATCATCAGTATCACCTCGATAACGACCCATCCCCATCCCTGATTTAACATGACTTCCCAAGTGTGGCATGCCACATCCGACGCTTGACTCTGTTCATCTCATAGATGGAGAGGATCTTAGCATTGAATCTGTAACCCAAATGAAATTTCATGAGAGTGAAAAAAAGAACACCAAGAACGCCAGCACTAGAGCATAGTCTAGAACGCGAGTCCAACCGTAATGATTATGCATCTGTTCATCTCACAGTTGAATACTCTGTAGTCCCCTGTGGAACACCAATGCGAAGGTTGGGAGATCAATGTTACTGCATTTACTTCAATCAAGCGAGGGACAACAGGGAAGCAGCACGACCGGGATAAATCTTAGCTGCAACAGTGCAAAGATTCAATAAGTTTGGAGATGAAGGCAGACTTTTTGTCGTTTTTCTCAGACAGCGGATCGGACCCCTCCGCCGGAGAAGTGGCAGGGTCGCGGCGTATCCCCAGCGGTGGGTCTCCCATTTGTCCGGCGGAGCCCTCCCATTTTCTGCTCCGGATACCCCCCATTTTCTGCTCCGGATACCTCCCATTTTCTGCTCCGGAGCCCCCCGATTTTGTGCGCCGGAGCCCCCCGATCGCGGCATACTGTAATTAGCCCTAATTAAAGGCAGCTTCCAGGCAGATCTGGTATGGGGCTTTTACATGGAAAGTACTTTTGGGGCCCTAACTAAGGCACTGCCGAAGCAGCAGCTCAGGTAGTGCTCTAATGGCGGAGATATTCCCCTCGAAACAGACCCCCGCGAACGTATTCGCATGGATTCATGGCAGTTTCGCGCCAGGGTCCACGCTTTGCGCCATGAATCCATGCGAAACACGGTCGCGGGGTCCAGTTTCGAGCAGAATATCTCAGGCGTTACAGCACTACCTGAGCTGCCGGTTGGGTAGTGGGTTAGTTAGGGCCCCAAAAGTACTTTCCATGTAAAATCCCCATAGGTCCAGACTTGCCTGGACGCTGCCTTTAAGCTCCAAACCCCAATTTTGTCTCTAAACCCCACCCAAATTAGCCGAATAGGACCCCCCCCCCCCTCCTCCCCCCCCCCGGGTAGGAGTTCAGCACGACCCTCACCCCGTACTCTACCCCCTCCCTCTCACCCCTAGCGTTTGTGGATAGAAGATAGGAGAAAGAACGAAGAGATTAAACATTTATTTCAAATTTTTCAAACTTCTTCGAAAAATCATCTTATATCGTTAATCATTTCACACTCACTGGTGTAAAAGAGTGAACCTTAGAATAGCAATAAGCGAACGTTCAAAACGTGACAGGGTGAGGGAACGGGCAATTTATTGCACGTAAAGAACGCCATTCAAACGCAATTTCATCCTGCAGTGTTCGATGAGCATTCCACCTGCGAGCAAATAACCATGAAGATTCGTTCAATCTTGGTTTCATTCAATCTTCAATTTTGATCGTTCAATTTTGACAAAGTATTCTGAAGTTTGGTTGAATGAATGTTTATATCTGTAAATCTAGGTTCAAAACATTCACTAAGAACATCACTTACTTTTTGAGAGGGTCTATCCTCATATTAACGGAAGTATACATTGAACAGCTCAGGGGAGTGGTCGTCAAAGACACAAGAAGAGAACAACAGTAGGTGAAAATGTCCAAGCGAATCGTTCATACAATGCTTGTTCAATCTACTCTGTTAGGTACGCTGTAGGTGCATGGAATAAACGCATGAAAGCTGTGATGGCTCCCAGAAGCAGTCGAGGTGCCTAGAAAATGGTTCTTACTATTTTCTTAATTGCGAAAGCAATCAAGAGAAAAAACTCTAACGAGAAGACTCAAGACTTTTTGTGAAAGCACTTCTGCCGACTACGGCCCAGAAGAATCACAGCGTTTCTTTCCGCTCAATCTCGAGCAAAAAAGATTGCCCAGATTCAGAGATAGATGGCTGAACCACTTGGTTGCTATTTCAGTAAGAATTTATACAAAAACACGAAAATAAATACGGAAGAAATGGAAAAATCGTGAATCGGCAGACAAAAAAGGAAATATAAAGTACACTCACTTTTCTAGAGTAGGGCAGTAAGCTAGGCATATCCTTCCATGCAAAAGCACTATACTGAGGCACATTTAAGAACACATTATAATCCATTAACCTACGATTGAATGTATCAGATATTGCGTGACTGAAACGTGCAAGGAACAGAAGAATAGAATAAAATGCAAGGGCTGACTGTGACTCACCTAGGAATGAGCTTGTCAAACCGCTGCACTACTATGGCAGAGTTTCTTGTGATAAATGGGTCTCCAAAATTCATAACAACTGTATTTCGGCCAGAGTTTGGAAGCTTTGTATACATTTCAGATGAACCTTTGGTGAGATAAATCTAAAAGATGAGTGAAATCAATGACAAAGCATGATGAAGCGGACTTCTGAAGATCTCAACGTACTGTTAGACATGCTTTGGCAGCATCGTTGACAATAGTTCCCAATGAGGAAAGCTCATTTTTGAAACCGATCATCATGGGAGACAAAACGGTAAAATTAGGTATGTACATGGGCATAAAGGTTGTAATAGAACATCGACTGAAACTGAAAATCATCCAAGAACGAATAGCAATGAAACATCAGAACTGACCTAAAATCTATGGAAGTTTCCAGTGTTAGTTGTGATGAAACTTCGCCAAAAATTCATCAGGACTGACATGGTGACTAGCTTAGTAATGTTGTCACAGCAATCTTACTGGAAAATCGTCCCTGAAACCCTGTACACCCGAGCCCGGCTACTCATCAAAAGTCCTGCAAAATCCAGTATGTAGGACCTCATAGTCCTCATGAATATTCCTGAATAGATCAAACGTTATTACACTTTTTAGGGTGGGGGACATTAGGTCGCCGAAAAAGGGCGGTCCCCGCGGTCATTTGCGACAAATACGCACCCTTGTACATGCGCGGACATGCGTTCCTGCAGGGAATCCGCGCGGGACTCTTCCGAATTCGGCGACCTAATGTCCTCCACCCCACTTTTTACAGCCCTAACAGCTTCATAAATACCTTATGACAACATTACTCCTCTGTCTCCGAAAGAGCGGATCATCCATGGGGTGCGTAACAGTTGTCATTCAGAAATCGCAGCGCGACGGTATCGTGGACACTATGCCCTAGGCCTGATGCCGCAATGAATGATTTGCAACGACGCGCCAAATTGATACGCAGCCTGCTCCGGATACCTCCCATTTCTGCTCCGGATACCTCCCATTTTCTGCTCCGGATACCTCCCATTTTCTGCTCCGGATACCTCCCATTTCTGCTCCGGACCCCTCCGATTTTCTCCGGCGCGTGTCTTCCAAATTTGGCGGACACGCGCCGCGCAGACCTCTGCGGCGCGGAGTCCGTCAAATCTGGCAGAGTCGCGCCGGAGAAATGGCGGACCTTTGCAGCAGGGCCGGAGAAGCCTCCCATTTGCCTGCCAGTGATGCCACCGCGATGGACCGCCCATTTGCCCTTCTCTCATTGGTCAACTGGGTCCGGCGCGACCCTGGCAGTTTCCGAGGGTCCGGCGGAGGGGTCCGGTCGATTGTCTGAGTTGTTTTTATTCTCTCATTTGTCTATTCTTTGTTATCGTCGATTCGTTGACCCCAAGGACTGCTCACTGCGGAGCATGTGCGCAGTAAAAACTCTTGCACTAGTTTAAATTCGTCATTGTACAAATCGTGCTCTTGCAACATTTTAGCCGCGCCGCGCGTGGTCCGCAGCATTTGAGCGTGTGGTCAAAATCGACGATACAAATATAGCCCTCACTTCTCAGCTCGAGAAGAACTGAAACTTTTGTTAAAACGTAGGGCAATAAAGATCTATGAGTATTTACTCATGATGACTATTTTCCAGTACGAGTCAATGTTCCAAGTTTTACTGTGGCCACCACAATTCCATGCACAAGACTTTCATTACGATCACTCAGGCATGTATTTACTATTTTTTCAACTCGCATCACTCCAAAGCAAAGTGATAGTTAGTCAAACAAGCGCAATCTGGCACATGGATTCAAATATTCACCTAGACTCCATTGTAGGTGAGCGTGTAATAGCAGACGCGGTTGCGGAGAAGGTTCGAATATTTTGTTGGATTTTGACCTGTAAGGAGAACCACCAGCAGAGAGCCATACATGTGAAAGCAACATGGGTAAAACGTTGCAACAAGTAAGTCTTTGTATGTGGAAACACCTCCACCACAAACACTGCCATACCACTAATTGATCGAAATGATTCAGGTATGTGTTTGTTTCGTCAGATGATGACCTCAACTTACCCGCAATCAATCTAAATGTCTCTAACGGCCGTGATCATCTATGGGCAAGAACTAAAGCTGCATTTAAGTACATACATGACTCCTATTTGGTAGGTTTTTCCTGTAGTCTTCAAATTTGATTTCAGCGATAAAATCACTGCTTACAAAACTATTTCAGTGGAAATCTCCTGCATATGGCGTCGTTGAAACCCAGTGTGTAAAAAGATTTAGGAACTAAAAACTTTCATACAGTTTCCCCTGCTGATTACACTGATTGCTTTGTAAGAGTCCGTGAAGCTGTTGAAATAGTGTAAACTTTGATTGAAGGTTCGAGAAATCAGCCGTTGCAGTATCCCGGCACAGATCATAAACGTGTGAGGATAAAGTTTACAAATCTCAGTGTAAAGTGTAAAAATTTCAAAAAGTATTTAGCCCGAAATTTTTTGCACTCCTTTCTGTGTCCTTGAAGACGTAAAGCTTTCTCTACAGAATTGCTACCGTATTCTTATAGCGACGAAGAGCTATTTGGGTCGTTTTACACCGCAAATCTAAATGTAAGTCTAAATCAACGTCAAAAGTGATGCAAGTCCCGCAAAAAACGTTGATGCAAAGTAGATACTGACAACCGAATGTATACTTACTTTACGCAACCCGGTAGTCTTCCGTTCTTATTTCCTACAGAACTATCTTTAATCATTAATCGTACGAAATTTTACTTAATGCTCAATACTCTATGATAAATTGCAAGTTTCAGAATGAGTTCGATTGGTTTCTGAAGGCGGACGACGACACGTATGTCATACTTGAGAATTTAAGGTTGTTCTCTGTGGTTCATTTACTGCATATCATCATCTATCCCCTAGATATATGCTTCTTCCTTACTCTCCTGAACAACCTATCCACTTCGGATGCAAATTCAAAATGATGGTCAAACAAGGCTATCACAGCGGTGGTGCAGGTTATGTTCTCAGCCGTGAAGCACTGAGAAGGTGAATCATTCTTCAAAAATATTATTTCTCACAGACACAGAGCAGTGTGAATTACAGAGCCGTTTCAGATTTGTGAATGAAGGTCTCAACGATACAGAGAAATGTTCTCCCAAAGAAGGTGGAGACGAAGATGTTGAGATAGGGAGATGTTTAGAGAATATAGGAGTGTACGCCGGAGATTCTCGTGATAACTCACAGCATCACAGGTACCTTCGATTGTTACACTTCCTCTTCTAGCTGCAAAGTGTATTGTGTTAGGTTCATGCCAATGGCTCCCGAGGATCATCTCATGACAGGCCAAGTTGAAAAGACAAAGTGGGTGTTTGCCTACACCTATTATCCATTTGAACAAGGCCCAAATTGCTGCTCTGGTAAGCATCTTGCAGAAGGAGATTTATAGCCCTACAATATATTTCTGGCGATACCAGTGCAAAATTTCACATACTTTCAGACTACGCTATCTCATTTCACTACGTTCACGCTAGTCTCATGTATGCGCTGGAGTACCTGATCTATCACTTGAAACCTTTTGGGGTGGAACGGTCACTCAGGTACTTCAGTCAAAAACATTTCAGCACATGAGTCTGTTCTTGCCTGCATTACTCAACAGTATGTAAGTCCACGAAAAATTGCGTCTTTTTGAGAGTCTCCAAAGCTTCGCGCTTGCGCCCAAAGATAGCGTGCCGGGAAGACTTAATTTTAAAGATTCCCCGCTCATCAGCCCCGCTGATCCTATAAATGTAGTGAAAAGAACGCGAGAATGTAGGAAATGGGTTTTTTCCATAGCCCTAAATTATGACTATGGATTTGGAGCAGCCCCGACAAGGTTGGATGTTCAGGCTTCCTGAACTGTGCAGCAGATGTATCCCTTTTTGGACAGTTATTCATATGTTCGTGTAAGGAAGAGGAAGTTGTAACAAAAGGATGTTACCGCAAATTAGGGCAGAATGATTTGAGCTGCTTCTTTGGCGCGCGGTTCTTACTTATGTTGTCGTCATAAATATAGTTTCATGCAGGAGTAATTCGTCCTTCCAGGATTGGCAAAAATGAAACCATATTGCAAGCAGCGTATTCATCCGCACGTCAAGCAATGGGGCCCGATGGTTTCTACCAAAATGTAACACTACCTTTATGACACTTATATCGCAATTCTTTCAAGTGTTCAACAGAAGCTTGCTTCTGTACCAGCTCCGGGTTATGTATTCGATGTATTTTCATTTCTTTTTCTCGCGTATCGCTTAAAATTTCGAGTGTAGTGCAAAGTTCGCTTGAATCTATTAAGAGCAATTTTTGCTGTACATTGAGCAAGCAATGTGATCATTGCTGTGTTGTTGTTATCACTTCCGATAATTCAGTCTCTGAATCAGCGTATTTTCTAGCTTTTACACATTGTTCGAATCAATTCTTGAAAGGTATAAAACTTCCGAATTTAATACGGTGTTGCTTTTTTCACAAAATTTTTGTTTGATTCGCTTTGCATAGATACCCTAAAATCTCACAAATAGGGCTTCCCATGCCTCCCATCAGACAAGTCCGTCTGCAGATAAATCCTGACTTATTTGACAGTCTTCGGACTTATCTAATAAGATTCCAGAATAGTCATAATGGGAAAATGAGACTTATCTGTAGAGCGGGCCTATCTGAAAAGTATATAAGACGGTCGTATCTGGCTCAAAAAAGCGGACTTTGTATATGATTTCAGGTTATGTGAACTTGGGTCCCACCTGTTGTTTGCTCTTCGCAGAGAAGTTCAGCTAAGCACATTTTTACCCTATTTTCAGGTGTATAAGCCGCACCCTTTTTGCTCTAAACGCGAGCAGACCCAGACGTGCCGCGCGCATATGTCTCGCGAAGCGGTCGCCTTATCGCATACTGCTCTCACTTAACGCGCTCCATGATGACAGTCAGTCTTTTGGCGTGTTCGCCTTTAGAGTGAAAAGGGTGCGGCTTATACACCTGAAAATAGGGTAGTTGGATCCAGGGTTCGGCACGAGGTGGCTTTCCGAAAATGCAAAAAGAAATCCTTTTTAATATTCCTAAAACTTTACGAAGTCTCCTTTGCTAAACTCTTAACCTAAAAAAGAACCCTAAAGAAACGAAACGTTGACAAAAAAACGTGATTTTTCGGCCACAAAAACGACATCCCCTTTGCTTTTTGTTGCAAAAACGATGTCCAGCTCGCCTATGAGCCACCTATGCAGACCTGGTTGGACCAGTGGACATATAAAAAGCTACACTGAGAAAGATTGAAGAAGCGTACAACGCACACTCAAAGATCTATAGTACATAAGCTCCGTGATTCTATGCTGAGTCATTTCAAATTTGGACGAGAATTGGAAATACGCTGAAAAAAAACCGAGTTTTCTCACGTGATTGCTAAGGCTGGGTTCAAACTTATACAAGTTCCAGAAAAGTGCCGTCACAGCATTCGAACTGTGCATGTGCTGCAGCCGCTCGCTCGCATGCTTTATTGATCAGCGAGTTAGCGGTTTCAGTTCTCAACGGTTCTTCTCTCAGATCACTCATGACCTCATTTCTCTACCCCGCTTCCCTTTTCGGTGGGAAGAGCTTCAATCCCTTGAAGCGAAGTTAGAGAACGAGCGCTGTTTTGCATCCATGTATCCGGGAAGATTACTTGGCCACCGTCCATTCTTTTCACGTTTTGTTCATATCAACTCCTATGATCTAGAAAACTGTGTCTTTACCCCTTTCAAGAACTGCACCTGCTCCCTTTTACATGAAGTAAGTGTAAAAAAATAACAAAAGGAAATGGACGTGCTCACGAAGACATATTTTCGTGTATACGTGAAGTGGGACAGCGTTCATGCTCAAACTTTGCTTCAAGTTCGCAGCTTTTCTCACTAAAAGGGGAAGCAAAGTAGAGCAACGAGGTCAAAATGAGTGCCATCTGAGAGAGAAAACCGTTGCAACGGAGAGAAATCTCTATTTTGCTCCGCTTAATAAGGTATGCGGGAGGCCGCAGCGCATGCAGCACAGTTCCGACACAGTTTGAGAGCTGTGCTGGAACTGTACCAAAACTTTCGGCTCAGTGTTATGAATCCCTTAGTCTTTGGGGCTCTTCCGTCAGCCAGACCAAGTTTTCAAAAGAATTTCATGAAATAAGTGCTTCAGTGTAAGAGAAGATTATAATAATTTATACATGACTGTCTATAGTCTGTCTTAATTGAAGGCTGAACCGTTGGCGTAATTTGCGCGCTCGCGGCGCTAAGTGTTTGCGCTGCATACAAGTCGGAAAGAGCGAGGAAATTGAAGAGGACAGACAAGTTAGCATAGACGTTATACTTTGAACCGAATCGAATGATTATTCGATCATTCGAATAAATTATTCGAATGCGAATGATTCGAAAATTCAAATATTCGGAAATACGAATTTTTGAGATATTCGATAGTCAAATATTCGAAACTTTTGATTTTCGAATATTATTCAAAAGTCAAATGTTCGAAAAACTTAACTTTCGAATATTATTCGATAGTCGAGTATTCGATGGTCATCAGTTCGTAACAAATATTCGAAAATTCGAGGAACACCGAATATTCGAAAATTCGAAAACCATCGCGGGATCGAAATGATTTCCGTAGCATGACAGGGTAATCCAAACAGTGTCTATACACTGTTTGATCGCTGACATTTCTCTTGCAAATGCTTTTGCCAACCTTTGGGTACCATGGTGTAGGGCTGGCTTCTAGATTACTTTTGCAACAAAAGGCAGCCACCTATAGCTTCTAATTATTGTGAAATTACGGCAGGAACTTTTGCATAGAGAGCCACTTTGAAATATGCCGTTTGAAAGAACTTCTCTGAAAAAATAGATTTATGTAGCACATTTTTTATATAGTCTGATTTTACAACACATTTTTACGAGTTTTTCAAGCTTTCACCAGATAATCTTGTTTTTGAGAATCGCAACATATCTTGAGGTGTATCTGGCATAGCTGAAACGCATTGCGGTTGAGTACAAATTTGATATTTAAAGTCAGCGACCAAAAGCCTGATGAGTTTTAGTTTCAGTTTCCTTTCTTAGGCAAAATACGGCCTTTCAATATTTCAAAACCCTCTTAAGGGCAGCGTTCCTGCAAAGAGATGGGTGCCGGATTCTGTGGCGATGTTAAAGTAGACCCCCTACCTAAGCGATGACTGAAGTTCGTAGCGAAAAAGGAGGTCTACCAAGCCTGAAATTCGCTCCGAAAGTGGCTCGGATCTTACGGTACGCCTAAATGCCGCTCACACAGCGATTTCGAACCGCAAGGCCAGAGCACGCATAACGCACACAGTCATGAGCGCAGGGTCCCACAACTACTCTGCGTCTCTACCTTGCATGCATCTCGTACTAGCCCGAGCCTACCGTATCATCCGCGCCACTTTCGGGGCAACTTTCATTTCAGACTTGGTGGACCCTCTTTTTCGCTACGAATTTCAGTCACCGCTTAGGTAGGGTGTCTATTTAACATCGCCACAAAAACCCGGCGCCCATCTTTTTGCCGGGACGCTGCCTTTACATTCTCTTATGGCAATCCTACAAAAGTGAACAGCGATCGACGATCCGCTCCTTTGTGGATCTAAGCTTTCGAAAGTTATCCGGAAGTCGGATATCATTCAACTTCCGAATAACATCCGGTATCGAATATTATTCAGAAGTCGAATAATCAAAAATTCGATTTTCGAGTATTATTCGATGGTCGACTGGTGGAATTTTTTGATTTTTGAATATATTTGATATTACCAAAAAAAATTTCGAACTTTCCTAAGTATAATGGACACGTTTTTGAACGATTTCTGAAGCTCCCATCCTCACATGAAATGACTGTGAAATATTAGCTTGTAAAGAAAGTTCTCGGGCACTTTTGGTAATTTCAATTTTTCAATTTTTTTCAATTTCAGTTTTTTTCAAATTCTTAAACGCACTTTTTCGGCACTCGGTCGGACTTTGACACCAAGTTTTTTATATGTTCAGTAAAGGGAAGCCTGAAGTTTTCAACGAGCCTTCTGACTTTTATCGATGCCAAGACGTGTTTGATCTACATGTCAAGAAGTGGAATCTTTCCAGCTACAAAAATTTCACAATTTCTCTTCCCACGGCCATTTTTTGTGCAATTCAAAAAATTTTGTGCAAATCATGGGTGATCTGTTTGAGAAGCCTGTTAACTTCTGACCCAGCTGCACTCGAGTTTTGCGATTTGCGCTTAGAAATTACAAGCTGTCGAACTTGCCTCTAACTGCAACTCTTTTCGCAGCTGGCGTCGCTTCTGGGATCGCCGCGCCTGGATGATGGATCCAAAAAATTGTGCAAGGCATCATCCCAACAATGCTCTCAGTAATAAAAGATTTGGTTCTTTCTGTGCAGAACTAGAAGACTTTAAAGTCACTTACTCGAAAAATGGTGCATTCACTTACTCGAAAAATGGTGCATTTTTAGGGGCAAAAAATGGTCGATTTTTCAAACTTTCTGGAAAAAAATTTTTTGCAGGTGGCCCCTTAGAGACATGAATGATCCTCATAACAGCCCCGGCAGATTTCTACATAACAACAGCATCTGGGGCCTTCAGCTGTTATCCTGCCTGAGATAATCCTGCACAATAGGCCACTTTTCGCGACGACCTTTTTCCCTTCTGCGCATGCTAGTGGACCGCAGTGAGGTGCTGAAAAGCCAGCAAGACAAATATATGTTGTGGACAAAGTTGTCTTTGCAGTAAAGTTTGTAGCTTCAAAAAGAATCAATCTCTTTGAAATGCAGCGATTTTAAGAAAATTTTCGCAAGTGCCCGGGAACTTTCTTTACAACCTAATAATATGTCAACACTAAATCAAAAACGTTGTTTTTCTTCTTCTGTCTTAATCCAAAGACAAAAACGCATAGCAAAATCCTTGTCCGATGGTTTTGTGACACGTCTACTAAACTTAGGGAAATTCGAATTTTTTTTTTCGACTATTCGAATATCGAATAATACTCGAAAATCGAAAATTTCGAATATTCGACTATCGAGTATTATTCGAAAATGAAAATTTTCGATTCGAATAATATTCGAATAACAAATGATTTTCGTTTTTGAATGTTCGAATATTATTCGGTTCTCGAACAATATTCAATTTCCGAATACCATCAGATTTTCGAATACTATCCGAATTATTTATGTCAATGAGACTGCCTTAGAGAGACCAAGTCCCAAAACACCTAATAAATTGTTCCATGTAGTATCAAGAATATACACTTTTTTCGTTAGGTGACGTCACGAGACTTAAGAATCTAAAAGCGTACTCATATTGTGGATCCACAACCAATCTCTCGGGAGATTCCTCGAACTTTAAAAAAGATTATACAGGGTGTCCCAAAAAAAATGTTGGCACTGTTTGATCGTTAATAACTTGCTTGTGTCGATGACTCTCGCCGATCC